TGAGATTATAACTATAATATTTTAAATATATATATATATATGATTTCTTTTCAATTTGATACTCTTGTTTCCTTAATATAAACAGTTGTCGATACTCTTGTTTCCTTAATATAAACAGTTGTTGATTAATTAGTGAATTAAGTATTGTGTCCACCGTAGGGGGCTACCTAGTCAGAATCAAATTCAGAAGTGGAGTGGGGGCAAAACCATTAAGAGCACAGTGGGATTATCTTTAATACAGTAAATAAATCTAATTTATTCTTACATACCTTATCCATATGTAGACAACAGATGCAGAAACCTTGGCCGGAAAAGAAGCATAAGCATTATTTATACGTGGAAACGACGTAAAGTCGGAGAGCAGAATCGGTTTTAGTTTCTGGAAGCGATATGATGCTTCCAATTGTTTGGAGTATAATGAGCTAACCTCGACTGTGCTTCCTTCTCTTAGCAGTTACTTGACCCGCTCCTGGACTCAGGTTTTGACCGGTTTAAGCCTATCTGGTCTTGGACTAAACTCTTAGAGTTTCCTTTGAGAATGTTGCACGGTGTTTCGACTTTCCTTTTTTTTTTTTTTTAATCACTATCCTAAACATATGGTATAAAGTATTTTAATTAAAATATATATTAAATAAATTTTTTATATTTTTAAGATACTAAAAAATTAAAAACCTACTGTTATAGCTATGGTGCAACATTCTATTGCATGATTTTAATTAATCCAAACCTACTTGTTTGCCATTTTCATTCAAAATCGATTTAGTTATTTTCTTTCTTAACATAATAGTATGTAGATGTCAATCTTAAATTTTGTACTTTCTCATGTTTGTGTTCGTTATACTATTATTATTGACATGAACAAAATAAAATTAACATGATTGTAGTGGAGAAAACACTCAACCAATATTCATTATACTAAAAGTCAACATAAAAAGAATTGGCCAAGAAAAAAAAAAATATAAACAAAAAACCAGATGAAAGAGAGGTCGACGCACTAACCAAATAACTAATAAAAGAGTAGTTAGTAGAGACGTGAAAAATGGCCCTACCACTAACAAATGCCTTGCCTGCCAGTGTTAGCATGACAATGGAAGAGGTTATTGACTTAATCAAGTATATCCTTTTATTGGTTAAAATCGAAATTCAAACATGATTTATCCTTAGAAGTATGGAAATGTGATCCTAGGAAATCATTATTTTTGAGGTATATATTTTCCTAAGAGCCATTGTAAGTTTTGTAAGTAAAGAATTATAACTGATAAAATTATAGTTAAATTGGTAATGCTAATAAATTTGATGGGTGCAATAACCTAATCCTTAATAAATTGGATTAGAATGTTTTAAGTTTTAACTACTCAGGGAGG